TAGCTAGCTAGCTGGAGGATAGCTAGCTAGCTGGAGGATAGCTAGCTAGCCGGGGCAGCTCTGCTCAGACCGTTGTGTCCTGACCTGGATCCAAACAATAAGCACAAAGATGGATGGATGAAACGCAATGCAAGATAAGATTACTCAAACTTCATAGTCGACTTCACTTCAGTCCTTAGCAGCAGTGCTACAGAGAAACCGCCTGTCCTAATGCGTAACCCTTTAACATGTGTGTATCATATTAAATACATGAGTTCGTAGACGTCTACATCAGCCCCTGAAAAGCCAAAATAAATTGTACAGTACATTTTAGTAAATAAAAAAAAGAAAAACAGCAGAATGTAGCCAATGTAAACAAATGAAAACTCATAATACAAATTAATATTTACCTTTTACCTGATTCTGCTCTTCCCCCATCCTCCCTCACCCTCTGCTTAGCTGAACTAAATTCATGGTTCTCTTCTAATTTTCTCAAACTCAATAGTAATAAATCCGAGCTCCTCTTGGTCGGCACTAAATCAACATTATCCAGAACCAACAGTTTCTCTGTTACTATCAATAACTGTTTCTTCCTCTGTGAAAAGTCTGGGTTTCATCCTCGACAGCACTCGATCGTTCAATTCACACATTAATAATGTCACTCGGTCTGCATATTTTCAGTTGCGCAACATTAATCGTCTCCGTCCTTTTCTCTCCCCACATGCCGTTACGATTCTTGTCCATAGCCTTGTTACTTCCCAGATCGATTATTGTAATTCACTTCTTTTTGTGTCTCACTCAAAAATCCATCCACAAGCTCCAACGTGTCCAGAACTCTGCTGCTCGTATCATCACCAGGACCCCTTCTGTCCACCACATCACTCCTGTCCTGCAGCAGCATCAGTTGTACACATTTAAGGCTATTCATCATCTCTCTCCTCCATATCTCTCTGATCTGGTTCAGATCACTGCCCCCTCTCGATGTCTCAGATCTTCTTCTTCCCTTTCTCTCTCCGTCCCCTCCCCCTGTCTTGCCATGGGGAGCCGGGCTTTCAGCTGCTCCTCGACTCTGGAATTCCCGACCTCCTGATTTAAGAAACATCACTTCCTTCTCTCTCTTTAAGTCATAACTCAAAACTCACTTGTTCAAAATAGCTTATCCCAGATAACCTCTTAACTCTGCTATTTTAAATTTGTTTATGTCTTATGCTTTTATGATTCTTTAAACTGCTGGCTTTTATGTTGCTTTTATTATTCTACTGTGTACAGTGTCCTTGAGTGTTCTGAAAGGTGCTTTCAAATAAAATGTATCATCATTATTATTATTATTATTATTATTATTATTGTTTTTTAATTTGTCATTTTCAAGAAAATATAATTTTCTGGGGATTATTTTATGGTTCAGGCTTCAAAAGGTTAAAATGAGAAACAAAAATAAAAAGGTTTTATCGATTAAAGGAAATACTGGAGAACAAAACCCAAACTTTTCTACAGTCGTTCATGTTTATTGGATGAACGTTAGTTTCAGCTGCCACTCAGGCCTCGGCTCAGTTTGAAGAAAATATTCAGTCAATCAAGATTTTTGTTTTTTTTTGCACATCAGGTGAGTTTTGTTGAGGTTCAAGCACCTTCAGCATCACTGCTACAGTAACAGTCATGTGATTAAAGGTTATAAACTGACAAAAACAAACAACTTTGTGTGAAACTGGAAATAAACAACAGCTTCAAGTCCAGTCCAGTGTTTTGTCTGCCCAACTACCCAAAACTCCTCATAATCACCCATTTCTTTCATTTTCTGTTCCCTTCACACCCTCTGCAGGTAAAGAAGCATCATTTAAAAAAAGAGGTGGATACGGGCTTTAAAGCAGCGTCTAAGCCTCATAAAGGCACCAAGCAGGATGGACAGCTCAGATATAATTATTGAAAGTACAAAAATATGTTTATGCACTTAACCATAAGTCCAACATAATAAGAGCCGTGATCAGTCCATGAATTATTATCATGGTGAGAGAGCCAGAATCAGCATGAAGGCGACAGATGGGGCCATGACAAGGTCATCCATTCGGCTCAGTGGCACCAAAAACTGAACTTGGCAAGATTTTTGTGTAAACAGTTGTTTTGGGCCAAAAACGACAAAACAGAGCAGAAGGAGGTGATGTGGATTCTTTCCTTGGTCCAAATTCAAATCTGCTTAGTTTTGAGTCTGAAAATCAGCTGATCAGAGTGTGGCTGAGAGCAACCACCCAGCAGACAGCAGCAGACCATTAAACATGAGAGTTTATCAAACTGGGAACTTTAAAAACTCATGGGTGGCTCTGCTGGTTAAACCTTTTGAACAAAAAGAGCTGCCCATGACTGGCAGATGTGACAAACCAAGCAGCTACAACCTAAATTTACCAGCTCCCTGGCTCGTGTCGGCCGTTAAATTCCCTTTGACTCGTAGCCATAAATACAGCTCATTGTCCTGGTGGGATTGTGTTGGCAGCACGCCGTTCGCCGTGGCCGTAAATAGCCTCAGAACCAGCATCTTATGTAATTTCCTACTAAACCTCTCTTTGAAATACGCCGCCTTACGTAACTGTCCTACAACACTGGGCCTAATTTACATAATTGTATAGCGATAAACTCATTGCGCTAATCTATGGCCCCGAGTGTGTCCCCTCATTTACATATATGCAAATGAGCCTCACGTGTCTGCAATTCCTCAAAATATGTCAGGACTTTGATTTCTCCTGTCTGTTTCTTTAATGTGTGTGTATGTGAGCATGTAGTCACATGTTTGTGGGGACCAACATCCTGAAAAGTATTTTTGAGGCTCAGTTTTGTTCTGCTGTCCGACCCACAACAGATAAACTTCAGCTGTCAGATTCAGCTCTGTGTTATAAATCTGTGATTTTGGACGATGATGATCATGGATGGTTAATCATCCGAAATGTCGTTCACGTTATAGTCCAGAGATGCTACGAATGAAAAGTGAATGCAGTGTTGGGCGAGTCTCACGCCACCCCTCTTCTCTTTATATTACAGAAAATATATTTATTGAAATGTATGAAAACATGAACTAAAACAAAGCAAAAGAAAAAAGAAAGAAAAGGAAAACAGTGATGCTGTTATCAGTCAGATGCTTTCCGGATAAATCGTTCGTAATTCCAGCAGTTTCGAAGGATCTCCAACATCACCGATTAAAAAGCCAAACATGACAGAGCCTCCAGCGTGTTCACAGATGGCTGCAGACTCTGACTGCTGACCGTGGATCCATCTCTCCATCAGACCGGTTCCTCTGGTCTTCAGTCCAGTTTCATACCTCTCCCTTCGTTAAGCTTCCTGACAGCCGTCCTTCACTGAGACCATTTCTGCTGAGACTTCAGAGAACAGCAGACGATCAGCCGAAGGTCCCGATCGTCTCTCTGCTCTCGTCTCAGCTCTTTGCTGGATTGTTTTCCTGTTTCTCTCAGACACTGCTCATTTGTTGCAGACAGTTTTTTAGACGTTACACTTCTTTTGCCCAGCTTCCTCACAATTTTTAACAGCTCTGTAGCGGCAACCTTCGGTCCTTCTTTGCCGCTTTTGCAAGACGTAAAGTTTCTGACTCGTGCTGTTGTTAAGTCGCTTGGATGCCTTCCGGTAGCAAAAACGAGGCGAAGGAAAAAAGGGGCAAAACATTTATTTTCCATACAAATCGAAAGGTACAAAACAAATACCTCTGGTGGGAGCTCCGTTTACATTCCCTTTATGTTACAACAAAAAAAACCCCATTAAAACGGCGACGGTCAGAAAACTGTTGCTCTACGTCCTGCTCGCTTACCTAACAAAGCAGGATTAATTTATGGAGCACAGCCTATTACATTATAACATAAAATGAGCAAGATTATAATAGAAACTTAAAGATCATGACAAATACTTAAATATGGCATGATGTAACTGATTAAAATATTGGCCTGGACTATCCAAGCTCCAACAAGCTCTTTTGTTTGTGCAGAAATGCTCTTTTATGCTGTCAAACTGTGTTTTCTTTGAGATTTTTTATAGATTCAACTAAAGAAATTGTTCAAAAATGTGTTGTGTGACAGGCTGCTGGTAACAAGGTGTCTAAAGATACTTTTTAGACCTGGTTCTTTGCTCAGTCCTCTGCGATGTGTAGACAACGCTGTTCGTGCGTTGAGTTGGAAGCCCTTCATGCTTGAACGATTCATGCGTCTGCGTTATCATTCCTGTGAAAAAGCAGCTCGTGTCCAAAGGAAAACTCTGACAGGTCTCCAGAAGGAAAACTGTTGCTCAGGAGCACTTTAAGACATTACCAGACATTTGGCTCCTTGGAAGGTTTGACTCAAGACTTTTGCACGGCTAACTGTATCTCCCTTTGTAATCTCACTGATAACAAAATCAGACAGGAAATAGTTTGTTAGCTTACCAAACCAGCAGTTAACACGATCCATGATGCTAACTTCTCTCTAGCCTGATAAAAGCCACACATGACATGGTCACCTAACGGTAATCTGTCTTCATAACAACCAGCAATGATGCGCTCCATCACCAACACCTTCAACCTTCAAATGTGGACTTTTCAGCTCTTTACAAGTAGAAAATGTTCATCTTGTATACATTGACACGAACTATGAACACGTGAGACCAGAGAGACGAAAATTAGCTTTCAGAAACACGAATCAGATGTTTGAAGGTCGTGACTGTTTCACAGAGCGCTGTGACATCAGCCTGCAGAGACTCGAAGAGCATAGTCGTCACACGCAGGCTCTGTTAGCTGTCAGATGTGTTTCATTCACAATGTGAGAGCCTCCACGGTCACTTATAATGGTTTTCTGGACTTACACCAGGCTAGCTTCAGGCTGGCTCAGACGCACGATGGATATCTGGGTCAGTTTTAGGAAAGAAAACAACAAAAAAGAAGAAAATATACAAGAAGAAAGTTTTAAAATAAGCAAAACATTATCTTGCAAATATAAAGACATTTTTAAACTGTCTGCCTTTTTCCGTCTCCACCTAAACTGCTGAGGAAACGGCCCGTATGTGCAGGCAGCTCATTACGACTGTAGTTACTGTGCAAACTCAGAGACGTATGAAGACGTAAATCACACGGACAAAAGAAAGGAAAGAAAACATCAGTTCATAAAGGACTGCCAGTTTTTTCCATGGTGATGTTGTCACTGCGCGAGTGCTGAACAAACACCTTCCCCTCTGCACATAAAACGCACATGTTGTGTGGGCTGCCTGACGAAGCCTCCGCCTGGGCATGTTTTCACACAGGGGTCAGGACGGCGCCGGGAAACGAGGCGGGGCCGGCCACACGGGCTTCACTTTTCCTTTTGTGGCCTTTGAATGTTTTTAATTTCAACAGTTATGTACAAAAAGACCAAAAGCTACAATTAAACTACACAAAACACTAAAAAATGAATAATTATCTGAAAACAGCTGCAAATCTGATGAAACTGGTGGTTCAGGTGGACGCTCACGTCTCCATCCTGGAACGTTTCAATCATGAAGCAGCTTCATGAGATACAAATGAAACCAACACTTCAGAAAGCAGCACGTGTTTGTGCTCGTTGACACGGAGGGTCCGAGTTTTCCTCACAGTCACAAATATTCATGGATTTTAATAAGAGCTGATTTGTCTTCAGTAGGGATCTGTTACCACGGCAACCCAGAAAACAGGGCTTTAAAAAAACTCTTTGAATCAAAAACACAAAAGTTTTCTGAGCTTTCTTAAATTCTTAAAACTTACAAAGTTTTTAGGGCTTGACTTTAACTTTATATAATTAATAGTGAGATTAAAATAGTCTGTAGCAATCAGCTGTGTGAGGAAGTCGAACTGAGCTCTCCAGGGTTCAAAGGTCGACTTAAAGTGCAAAAACTAAACATTGTGTACATGGATGTGCTTTAAAACACACGTGAAGTGTTGTGGCTGAGCTGGAGAGGAGCAGGTGCCCGTGAGTGTTTCATGAAGAGCTCTGAGACTGTGTTGTGCAGTTTTCATCATAAACGTGTTGCTGTGAGATTGTTTGTGAATGTGTTTCAGGTTTTGCTTAAAGACTAAATGCAGTTCAGTGTCGGTGCTTTGGCAGCTCAGGTGAGCACAACAATACCTGAATAAGGTTTATAATTAACGCTGTGATTATAAATGCTGCACCATCACATGTGAGGCCTTGGAAAGTGTGTCTGCTCATTAAAAATTAAGCTGCGTGTTTACAGTTCTGAGCTGGATGGTTTCTGAGTTTTATTGCTTTATGGTTTGATTAAAAATTGAAAGCAGGCCGGGCTGACGTGGCCACGTCCCATTCCGAACTCGGAGCACGTCTATGCGTCCTTCACAGACACCTGTGGCAATCCTCAGACAGACTAAACACGAGTGAAATAAAGAGCGAAGAGCACAAAAGCTTCACGAGGACGTGAAAGGTCGTGGTTTCTGAGTAAGGAGGCGAACGAGGACACATCAGAGGAAGGTTTGGCACAGAAATAGGACGCAGGAAACCGAAATAGGACGAGCTATTGCAGCGTGATGCAGGTGACCTGCAGCAGGTGTTTTTGTGTGCGTGCGTGCAGACAGGTCTGTGGAGGGGGGCGTGGCTTATAAACTACCTGCAGCAGGTAAGGTTCGGGTTACCTGCAGCGCTCCAGTCTCTGCTCCGCTTTGGAAGAACATCATTCTGTGTTTGCTGATGAGTTTGTTCACTTATCGCTCAGCCGATCAGGAGCCCGGAGTCGCAGAGCGGAGATCCACGCGCAGGTGAGTCGGTCATTACTCACACCTGCGGCCTCCTCACAGCCTGAGCTGCTTCTTTTTTTATTCTGCTGTTTGTTGGCTGGTTGGTTTCTGGTTGTTTGTTTGTTTGTTTTATTGGTTTGTTTGTTTCTGGCTGTCTGTCGCGTGAGAGCAGACTTCAGTAATCACTTCCAGCGAAACTCCATCAACGCTCGTATTGTTTTCAGGAAACATGCGGTTTTAATGCGAGACTGTGACGTGTAATTCATACTTGCGTAAGAACTGGTTTTGTGCACGCGCGTGTTGTTGCATTCAGGGCTGCTGGGAGTGTATCCGGTGTCCGGTGTGCTCTCCCGACACGAGTTTGCAGAGGTGCGTGCGTGCGTGTTTGGTGTGCAAATGGTCCTGTTGCCTTGGCTACAGTGACATCACGCATGCTTCACACGCACTTAATTTAAATGTGCATACATATATTTTTAAATCTAGTAAATGCTTTGTTATTGGCGGCGTCTGCGGAGTCCGCTTCACGATCCAGCAGCGCCGTCATGTTTGCGTCACTTAACCTAATATTGACTTAAACTAACAGGAACCTGTGCAAACCACCTGAGGACAAAACCAACACTGATGCGGGATTTTGAAAACAAACTCTACAAATAAAACGTGTAAAAACATACATATGAACTATACGAATGTTATATTTAGTGGATGGTAATACGTTTGAGCGTCGGGCCACAGCAGGTTTGATGTCGAACAGCCGCTCATCGTCTGTTTCTGCGCCGTTTTAACCAAAACTGGATCCAAACTGGAGGTTTTGTTGCGTTAGCTCGGCTGTTTCACGCTTCCTGGACTTTGGATCAAAGGAAAGTTTGGCTGTTGGAAGTTTTTTGTGCTGCACGCTTTTATGAGTTTGAGCAAACATAAAGGAGGAAGAACAGAAAATGGAAACGCTGTGATAGATGATGACTCTTGTTCCGCTAATCATTCATTAACCAAGTACATTGTCATTTAAATGTTGCACTGAAAGTACAAAGAACATGAATTTGTTTACTTTATTGCAATAATATGATCTGATTCAGTTGCTGCTGCCTTTGGAAGCCACTTTGAACCCCCCGCCCCCCCGCCAGCTCTTTCATGATATCTCTAAAAAGGGCCATAAACGAGGTGGACTTTAGAGAGCGTCTGCAGCACTGTGACTTACTGCAAAACAATCTTAAAGAACTCACCACTGTTACTCATGAGACGTGAGGACTGAAAATATTCAGATGAATGAATTTAACGTTATGTTTGTCTTAATCTTTCAGTCACTAAAAAAGTCAAACTGATTAAAAACCTCCCAAATCAGAAGATTTACTACATTTTATAGTTTTATATCACTTTGAACTTATTATCTTTAGCTGACCAAAGCACCTGGACTCCAGCTTTAAATCCAAACATTAAGCTTTCTATAAATTTTGATTAGTTGTGTCTTCTCTCTCCCATGTTTTGCACAGTAAAGTATTATCAACAGGTCTTAATCCAAACATGAGTGTACGTTCAGGTGCACCCTCGCCTCCTCCGGTCTGTGTTGACTGGTTCGCTGCAGGAATGTGTGGCTGTGGTTGAACAGCTTCTCCACCCAGCGACAGCAGAGAAATACTCATACCTGCTGTGGGCGTCCGACAGCAGGCTGATCCTCCGCCACGCCTGAGCTAAGAAACAATTAGATGCGTGTTTGTGTCGGTCTCTGAATTTTTCCACCAACCCAACAAACAAAAGCCCGTCTGACACTGCGGGGCAGCAAACACTTGAGTTTATCTACCAGAAATGAGTAATCAGTTAAAGGAGGTTTGCTTTGTGATTAAAGGTTTAATCTTGCAGTCCGGATTTAATGGCTGACATTACACCTCAAACACCGAGCGTGCCAGCTTTTCTTAGACATGAGTTTAGGCTTAGCTTAATGACTTCAACCCATCTCAGATCCAAAAGTTTTCCTCCTTTGCCTGGTTCATTGTTTTTCTTCCAGGTTTTGTCAGATTACAGCATCTTTATTGTCTAAGTTTTCGAACATTTCATTGTTCAAATGTTTAATCAACAAGTCGTGTAAAAGACTGGTGACCCGTCCAGAGCGTACTCTGCCTCTCGCCTTACGGCAGCTGGGATGTTGACGGCCCAAATCGTAGACGTGGACAGCAGGCAGGATTCAACAATAGGTGAGCTGCTTATTTACAAGAGACAAAACAAAGTCCAAACTAAGGAACCACAAGTACGTGCAGACACTCTGACAAAGACCGACGACTGCACAGAAAAGCAACCAGACACACGGCTGGATGATACTAGAGCAGGGTGGGCAACTCCAGGCCTCGAGGGCCGCTGTCTTGCAGGTTTTAGACGTGTCGTTGATCCATCACAGCTGATTTAAACGGCTAAATGACCTCCTCAACATGTCCTGAAGTTCTCCAGAGGCCTGGTAATGAACTAATCATGTTGACCCAGGGTGAGATCTAAAACCTGCAGGACACGGAGTTCCTCACCCTGCTCTAGAGATAAATAACCATCAGAATAAAACAGGAAGTGAGAAATGATAACTAAACGGCGAAACACAAAGACATTTACTTGAGATCAGGGACTCGAGAGGATGGAAAAACTAAACGCTAATACAACCAGGAACAGAGAAACTAAACTCGATACACTAAAGAAATGCACGAAGCACCAACTCGGGGTCAAAGGCCGAGCACCGTGACTGCTATGACTAATTTGTCCTTTCTGATTGTTGGTGGATGCTCACAGAACAAGGATTCACTGTTCTCCGGGTGTTTGCTACAGTTTTCTTTCACCTTGCAGAGTTAAAAATGTTTGAGCTGAGGTTTTCCTGTTCAGTAAAGTCTGGCGAGCGTCAGCTGAGCTGCGAGCTCAGACGCCGTCACCACGAGCTAAACCCTTCACGGCTCCGATGATGCCCGGGTGTCTGTTTGGCAATTACTTTGAGTCAATTTGATCGGTTTAAAGTCCGACATTAAACAAACACCTGGAAGAAGTGAGGCGCCACCTGCTCTGCTAATGTGCTGCCAGAGCAGGCATCAGGTCGATGCTGCGTCCTTAAGCAACCTCGAGCCTGAGCGCGTGCAGCTGTGTCAGGCTTAAGATTCTCAGGTTGTGTGTTTTGGTCACATGTTAGTGCCGCTGAGCTCTGGCTGGTCTGGATGTTTGTTAGAGGAACATTCAGACTGTCGGCTTTTCTCGTCTTGCTGTAGTTTAAACCTGACGGCTGCAGACTTGCGTTATACGGCTGTCCCATGTATGATGTCATTGATGTCACTGTGGTTAACTAACCAATCCCTCACCTTATTAGATGAGGAGCTAGATCTGACCGCGCAGGCTTAAATTAGCTGTTAAATGTACTCTGTTGGCTCCTGTATGAACTCTGAGGGGAAGTGACTGTCACACAGAGCACAGGAGAGCACACCCACAGCTTAAAAGTGTGACAGATCACATGACTGTCTACAGTTTCACTTCAGCCTGAGGTGTTCAACGGTGATTGGACCGGATGGAGTTACTGGAGAGATCCGCCTGACCCTGAAGCTCCAGTGTTTGAAATGTAAAAGTAAAGTTATTTGATCTTGATGCAAATGTGACTGTCAGCACAATTTGAAGAGAAGACATTTTTGACTTTATCTCCAAAAACTTCCCAGCAAACACGTTTAAAACGACGCTGCTGTCTCTCAGATAAACTCATCAGGGTGTGATGGCAAAATTCACCCTGTAGACGAAGGTTCACGGTGTTTCCTCGTAGGCCGTAACGCAGGTCCAGCGCGTCCCCGTGCACACCGGTAAATATAAACGCGCTCAATTTGCCAACATGTGATTTTTGGATTTGGTGCATGATGAACTCGACTAGAATGGACGGTTGTAACCACGTCAGCGTTGTGATGTCACCCTGTGATGTGAGAAATGAGTTTGAGTCGTCTACACGGAGTACGACGGTTTAGTTTAGTTTGTTTAATCTTGTTCAAAAAGCGCTTAAAATCATTTTTGACTCAAACTTTCTAGCAAGAGGAAGTTTAATGAGCACGTCAAAGTAATGTGTAAGAATGACGCCCAACACACGTGAACTTTGACCTCCAACATCATTCTGAATAAAAACCTGTGAGAGGAGTCTGACAGCAGCTGTTCAGTGCTGAGATGTTTGCTGGGTCTGGGCTGTGTTGACCGAAGTTCTACTGAAGTACTTCTTTTGTAAACATGGGCCAAAGACCTGGCAGGTCATTTTAGAAGACCTCTCTTATTTACACCGCTGTTCTATTAAAGGTCACACCTGACTTCCTGCTTGAGTCAGGTGTGGCAGAGAAATGTGCGAGGCTGGTGCGGGACAGGTACGAGGACAGTGGAGATGTGTGCAGGAGGAGTGACAGATGGGTTCATGGTGGGACTACATCAGAGATCTGCTCTGATCCCCTTCTTGTTTGCAGTGGTGATGGACAGACTGACAGATGGGGTCAGGAGTGTCTGTGGAGCTGGCGCTGTAGTGAGAGTGGGGAGCAGGTGGGAAAGAGCCTGGAGAGGTGAAGGAACGCTTTGGACAGAAGAATGGAAGTCAGAAGACCCAAGATAGAGCATGTGTGAGTGAGATGGAGACGTGCAGTGTGATAGTGAAGGTAGACGAGTTTAAATACCTGGATTAAAAATGCAGGTGAGCGGTGAAGAGATTCCAGGCAGGAAGACGAAACAAAGAGGATATGGTGGGTAGTGTCTGAGGAGCTGGGCACTGACAAAAGGCAGGAGGCTGAGCTGGAGGCAGCAGAGATGAAGCTCAGGTTGAGACAAAGTTAGAGGTACGGCTGAAACGTGGACGTGCAGAGGAGAGTGGCTATGTTGGCTAAGTACTATAGACGTGTAGCGGTCTGTACGAGCTAGCAGCTAGCTGTGAAGCTGACGTGAATGCTCCAGAACACAGCGTCTTCTTCCTGTATTTACTTTTGTTGCTCCGCCCCAGACACATCTGGCCAATAAGCAGACTGAACATTGTCACGTGGTTTCAGTGACATTTCGGTTC